AGACTGTGGTATATGTCCATACTGTTAGCTCCATTCTCAGTATATTACACACTGTAAGTGACATATCTGTTGTATACACTAGACCGTGGTATATGTCCACACTGTTAGCTCCAGACTCAGTATATTGCACACTGTAAATGACATATCTGTTGTATACACTAGACCGTGGTATATGTCCACCTTGTCTGCTCCAGACTCAGTATATTACACACTGTGAGTGACATATCAGTTGTATACACTAGACTGTGGTATATGTCCACCTAGTCTGCTCCAGACTCAGTATATTACACACTGTAAGTGACATATCTGTTGTATACACTAGACCGTGGTATATGTCCACCTTGTCTGCTCCAGACTCAGTATATTACACACTGTGAGTGACATATCTGTTGTATACACTAGACCGTGGTATATGTCCACCTAGTCTGCTCCAGACTCAGTATATTACACACTGTGAGTGACATATCTGTTGTATACACTAGACCGTGGTATATGTCCACCTAGTCTGCTCCAGACTCAGTATATTACACACTGTGAGTGACATATCTGTTGTATACACTAGACCGTGGTATATGTCCACACTGTTAGCTCCAGACTCAGTATATTACACACTGTAAGTGACATATCTGTTGTATACACTAGACCGTGGTATATGTCCACCTAGTCTGCTCCAGACTCAGTATATTACACACTGTGAGTGACATATCTGTTGTATACACTGGACCGTGGTATATGTCCACATGGTGCTTTGTCCCTCGAGGGCAGGTCATCATTCATTTCTGAAGGTAACGCTGGTAGATTACCCACATCGAAGAATGTGGCTCGTACCACTGAGAACCAGCCAAGTTTTCTGATAATTATCCAAGTTTTCTTCTCCGTTGTCTGTATAGAATTATTGGCATATTTCAATCAAGTGGAAATGGGTTTTGTCAGTGCCAACAGGCCATTTCCATACCCTGCTTTGAAAATAAATATGCGGCCAATATTGTCCGATATGGTTAAGCTGAGGACTGCCCGGTGCAGTCCAGCTATGTGGAACAGCCAGCACACGCATCTATTTATAGCATGCATGCACATGAATCATGATGGCTTTATGTCTTTGTGACAGTACATGCAAGTCCTGCCGCCGCTGCAACAAATCGGTGCACATAATTGTGTGTGTGTTCAAAGCAGCCTCCCCCCAGGAGTGGGGCTTGAAGTTGGAAGGAGGTTGTTGAGTGGGGTTTGAAGATGGAATTAGGTTGTTGAGTGGGGTTCGAAGATGGAATGAGGTTGTTGAGTGGGGTTTGAAGATGGAAGGAGGTTGTTAAGTGGGGTTTGAAGTTGGAAGGAGGTTGTTGAGTGGGGTTTGAAGATGGAATTAGGTTGTTGAGTGGGGTTTGAAGTTGGAATGAGGTTGTTGAGTAGGGTTTGAAGTTGGAAGGAGGTTGTTGAGTGGGGTTTGAAGATGGAAGGAGGTTGTTGAGTGGGGTTTGAAGATGGAAGGAGGTTGTTAAGTGGGGTTTCAAGATGGAAGGAGGTTGTTGAGTGGGGTTTCAAGATGGAAGTAGGTGGGGTTTGAACATGGAATGAGGTTGTTGAGTGGGGTTCAAACATGGAATGAGGTTGTTGAGTGGGGTTCAAAGTTGGAAGGAGGTTGTTGAGTGGTGTGGGTTGGTTTGTTGTAGTCATTATCTTCTAGAGTACTGGTCATTATCTTCTAGAGTACTGGTCATTATCTTCTAGAGTACTGGTCAGAGTACTGGTCATTATCATCTGGAGTACTGGTCATTATCTTCTAGAGTACTGGTCATTATCTTCTAGAGTACTGGTCATTATCTTCTAGAGTACTGGTCATTATCTTCTAGAGTACTGGTCATTATCTTCTAGAGTACTGGTCATTATCTTCTAGAGTACTGGTCATTATCTTCTAGAGTACTGGTCAGAGTACTGGTCATTATCTTCTAGAGTACTGGTCATTATCTTCTAGAGTACTGGTCAGAGTACTGGTCATTATCTTCTAGAGTACTGGTCATGATCTTCTAGAGTACTGGTCATTATCTTCTAGAGTACTGGTCAGAGTACTGGTCTTCTAGAGTACTGGTACTGGTCATTATCTTCTAGAGTACTGGTCATTATCTTCTAGAGTACTGGTCAGAGTATTATCTTCTAGAGTACTGGTCATTATCTTCTAGAGTACTGGTCATTATCTTCTAGAGTACTGGTCATTATCTTCTAGAGTACTGGTCATTATCTTCTAGAGTACTGGTCATTATCTTCTAGAGTACTGGTCAGAGTACTGGTCATTATCTTCTAGAGTACTGGTCATTATCTTCTAGAGTACTGGTCATTATCTTCTAGAGTACTGGTCATTATCTTCTAGAGTCATTACTCTTCAGAGTACTGGTCATTATCTTCTAGAGTACTGGTCATTATCTTCTAGAGTACTGGTCATTATCTTCTAGAGTACTAGTCATTCATTATCTTCTAGAGTACTGGTCAGAGTACTGGTCATTATCTTCTAGAGTACTAGTCATTCATTATCTTCTAGAGTACTGATGTTATAAATATGCAATATTTTCTGAGGTTTTAACTCCAGATCCTTAGGAATTTCATAACAGCATGATACAGAATTATATTCCCATATATGATTTCCTGTAGTAGTTTTATATTGTATTACGTATCTAACTATCTTAGTATTATAATTACCGGGTATGTGGTGAGAGCTGCGGATTGAGTGTTTAGAGACCGCTAAATATTTAGCTGTAGGATCCAGGTTAGGACAAAAGACCCCTTGACGTTTATTGTTTAATTTACACACTGAAGTGATCGACGAATCAGATGGTTGATTATCAGTCTAGTGAGTGATGTATTTTGCAACAGTGTTGAATTTTTTCCAATCATTTGTTAATCAATTTGTGGTGTGGCTGTATCTCCGCAAGCTCCAGGCTTGCCTAATCCGCAACAGGGCAGCTCAGTTAATGAAACATCAGTTTTAGGGGGTTTTTCCTCCTTGAAATTGTCAGTTTACGAGGTGTTTACCCAAGGTGAAGGCGAGAGTACCCACAGTGCAGCCATATCTTGTCTGGGTTGCAAGTTATTTGTGAGATGCTCAGTACTAAACGACTCACCCTCGACATTCTCTTGTAATAAAAGAAAATTTATTTTCTAATTTGTTAAAATTTGCTCTGTTGGCTGAGAATCAATGGACTAAGTGTGGGTGGAGTGGCCAATTTGGCGTTACTATTTTCATTGCATTGATCTTCGTAGGTCTCCTGTCAGCCATTGTTATGCTGAAAAAAAATGCGAGGGAAGACCTTTTGGAAAAAAACAGTGAAATAACAGAACATGGTTTTGTAGAGTATTTTTAAACCTTTGAAACCTGAGAGCAGCCGAGTCTTGTTATTTTATCTATATTACTGCTCCACATCCAATTATTGACAGGTCGCATCCTGGGGGAATCGCGTATCGGTATGTGAAAAAATGAGCTGGGAATATCTTGAAGGTTTATCTGTAGGATGTAAGGGGGCAGTGGTAACCCCATCCATGTGGTAACTCTTGGGAGTTGTCAGGAAAGTAGTACAAGCAATGCATCTAACTTGTGGAATGAAAACAGGCATGTCAGCATGCAGTTTTAAGGCCGTCTCAGCTGAACACTTTGACAAAACCATTGAATGTTATTGACAAATAGTTATTTTTATGTACAAATGTGCATCCTCTATAAGAACATCTTCGGTTATGGCACTGTGCCTGGAAGTTGGTGCCAGTTTGTCCTGGGTTTCATTCACAGATTTAAATGTTGTAGTAGAAGTCTTCACACAAATTGTTGAATCCAACTCACTCACTCAATTGGTTTTAGATAATATTTGAAATCCCGAGATACTGTGGTATAACCAAAATACTTTCCAAACTGGAGTTGCATCCAACTCACTCACTCAAGCCTACATATTCTGGTGGTTGTTGGAAGGCCCCAGGGGGTGGAAATCTTTTCAAAACTCCACTGGACACAGGTCCAGTAAACTTTCAAAATCCACTTGACTAAATATTAATTTCACTTGACCACAATTAACAATTTGGTTTCTTTTGCAAATAATCTTTATCAGTTATGAACAACGGAAAAGCTAATAAAACATTTCAGTAGTTTGGCACTGCTGTACCACGGTAAAGTTTAATGTGGATTTTACTTGACCGACCGGAGAATTCCACTCGACCCAGGTGTCGGGCAATGGTATTTTTCAACCTCTGGGCTCTGATTACGATGCTGTGTAATACCTGAAGCACTGTTCAATATGGTGTTGAATCCATCTCACTGAACTTCAGGAGATCCTACATCACAACAATAAACAAAGCTGGATGAGTTCAAGGCATCTGTCTGTAGAAGATGGGCTACAGTTGTGATGAAAAGGCTATCTAGGTATAGGCAATATAGAGGTATAGGCAATATAGGTATAATCAAAAAAGGGATAGGCTATATAGGTATAGGCAATGGTATAGGCAATCTAGGTATAGGCAATATATAGGTATAGGCAATATATAGGTATAATCAATAAAGGGATAGGCTATATAGGTATAGGCAATATATAGGTATAGGCAATATATAGGTATAGGCAATAAAGGGATAGGCAATATAGGTATAGGCAATATATAGGCATAGGCAATCTAGGTATAGGCATAGGCAATATAGGTATAGGCAATATATAGGTATAGGCAATATATAGGTATAGGCAATATATAGGTATAGGCAATATATAGGTGTAGGCAACAAGGGATATATAGGTATAGGCAAATATATAGGTGTAGGCAATCTAGGTATAGGCTATCTAGGTATAGGCTATCTAGGTATAGGCAATATATAGGCATAGGCAATCTAGGTATAGGCAATATATAGGCATAGGCAATATAGGTATAGGCAATATATAGGTATAGGCAATATATAGGTATAGGCAATATATAGGTATAGACAATATATAGGTATAGGCTATATGTATTTGTTTGCAGTCTTGATTGACCCCAGCATTGACCCCACCTATCCTTGTAATGGACTTCCTCTATAGGAACTACTGCCATTGAATACTTTCTTAGGAATACTTGTTTAAAACTTTAAAAAATCTAGGAGTTGTAATGATTTCAACTTTACAAAATTGCACCACATTTAGGAACTCTATGGATTCTCCATATTTGTAATATTCTTGCGGTAAGGTGAGTGGTAAGCACAAAACATTTTCATTTAGGTTGGTGTCATGTTTAAAATTTATGGGTTTGAAGCACAAGATAAGAATATCCGTTTTGATTCACTACAAATGTAATATTGAGTTGTTGAAAGAGCTAGTCTGTGACTTACTGAGGGGACGGGAACATCTATATTACCCTGTGATAAGGAACGCAGCTCATGAGGACGGGACTGCGGAACATTGATGGTGCTTCCACCACATGAGAGACGGGTCCCGGCTTTGATCCCTCCGACAGACAGGATGGTTTCACCATCACGGTGGGGGTTTCACAATAAGGGATGGTGAGAATGGATCTCGACATCAGGAATTACAACTTCAAAGGATTGTGTTGAATGGAATCACAATTTGGAGTGGAGTTCCCCCATCAAAATTTTAACTTGAGTTTTCTCCTTGATGAAATTGGACAAATTAAATATTTTGTAGCACATCTTGTACCCCATCTTTTTCATATGGACTTTTCCTTCTCTTTATGTGGCTGGATCTATTGCTGATAGAAGGGAGTGGAAGGCGGAAATTCATGATTCACATATCGTCATGTAAAATAAAAAAAATATAGCCTTTTATTTTGATTAGATGTATGGGTTGTTTTGGTCCATGTTGTTGTTGCCATTCACTTCATTGATTCATAAATAATGCTCTGGATCAACAATTCAAGTTCAGATGAAAATGTAAAGTTTCCACACTTTAAATTATTTCTAAAGTTATGCCATTAACTTTTAGTGTCATTTCTCTGCTAACACATCAGTGTTAAGAAAGAAATGGAAAATTGTGCGCCAAGAATAAAAACTTGCTTTTCTGCTCCAACTTGAGCACGAATTCTGCTACAGAAAATATATCATGGCTGGTAGTTTTTCCACGTCTTTTCCACTCCCACTTTTTGCATTCACTGCCAGGACATGCTTGTGTCCTCGGTGATTGATAAGCCTGGGGTTTGTTTCATGTCTGTATTTCCCCTGTCGTCTGCTCGGCAGAAAGAAACCTATTCTCTTCCTGGACCGGTTCCTCTGTATATTTCCTGACTGCCTCCCTGTAATGTTAGTTTTGTGAAAAAACAAGGGTCACCGGGGATTAATGATTGTCAGGGCAGACCAGACGTGACCTTTATCTCGGGTCATCAGGGCAGCAGCTTTCTGAATGGAATACCTTTTTGATATGTTTGTCACAGTTTAAAACCAGCTTTTTGTTTGACCTCTCTAAACTATTCACAATTTTCAGGATCATTATGCTGTCAATATCACAGTCGGGTCAATGCAAATTATACCACCCATTGTGAGTGAATTGTGGACAATGGACTTCAGCTGCATCATGGGGATCTGTTGTCACATACATAGTTTGAGAAGCATATTGCATTTAACTGGTCATGCAGTATAGCCTTAGGTACTTAGGATGTTAATAATGTGGTGTACATATTTGATGTTAAAGCATGTATGTGAAATGTCATGTTAAAGCACGTATGTGAAATGTCATGTTATGGCATGTATGTGAATCAAGGATGTGATATGGCATGTTATTTCATGGATGTTATTTAGAGTGATATGTCACAGATGTGATACAAGATGTTGTTTCATGGATAATGGAGAGGCTTTGAAAAGATTCAGTGAAAGTTTGTCCTTTACAACTGTTTCCTTGTATAGTGATCACAGTTCCTGATTAGAGATATTCAGAGATTCTCTTTTATCATTGAGGATTGTTTTATACAACTTTTAGCCATCGACGCCATATTGGTTGTGTCTAGTTTCTGTGCCTACTGTTGCTGCTTCTGTGGAATCTCGGTGAATCGGAACTGCATCGCTAGAGACAAAGGATATTCCTTGCTTGATAGGGATCTGGATTTGTCATCTTGGAGCCATTTGTTAAGAGAGGGCCCTTTCATGTTGGTTTTATGACTTGGTTTCCCCAAGACACAACTTGGCCTGTATGGCCACACGGCTTGGCTGGATTGAAGGAGAGTGTGAATGTGTATATTTAACACTGTTAACAATGGCCATTTGGAACCTGAGTTGTGTACACAGTCACGTTAGATTTCTTTGATTCTCATGTGGATGGATTTTAAATCACATTGAACATTTCTGTGTTTCAGTTTTGATCCAGATGTGAGGTCATTCACTTTGTTAACGTTTCCAAAGTTTAATAAAAAAAGTGCATTTTTTTCATGGATCAATTTTGAGTGGAATTTTAACTGCCACTTTGTTAAGCGTTGATACCTGATTTTTTCTGGCTCAATCTTTGCCTGAGTGGTATTGTGCTCACTGTGTCTCCCCAGCACTGTTAGAATTCACTGCAGTTACAACTTGCTGAAATACCTTGTTTCGTTCTTGACAATATATGTCTGACAGCATCTTCCATGAGCTTTCATGCGTTGCATTACCGCAGCCAAATGGTTAGACTTGCACCGGTCTCCAAGGTAATAATTATTAGTTTAAATGAAATTTTCTAAAAAATATAAATAACAGACTGGCATCCTGTCCACTTATCTAGACTTGCCTTTTAAAAAGATAGAATTACTATACATCCATGGGCTTAGCATTCAGTACAGCCTTGGAGCAAGGCTACCAGCTGGTATGTCCTTCCTCAAATAACCCTCCTTCTTAACCCCCTCCCTCTTAACGCCCTCCCTGTTCACCCCTCCCCCCACATCCCTGACACATGTAAGTGCAGGGTTGTTATTACAGTGCAGCCATCAGAGAGTGGGGGTCGTGTCTCGGGTGTCAAAACACACACAGCTATGCCAGGGGAAGACTACTGTCAGTTTCTAAATAATACATCTTGTGCCTCGTGTTCCAACTGACCTGCCAGGTTGAGACGGACACTGTTTTAGTGCTACAGTAAATCTGACTGGACTTCCTGTGAGTGCTGTTTGTGAAGGCAGTGCACTTATCTTTGTCGTGATCTACAGGATGCTTGCCTGGCAGTGTTTAGGCAGGTGTCTGTGTGCTTCTACATTTACACTGACATAATGCATACGTCAGTGTCGTTGTTTTTGTTTATTTTCATTGTCCAGCTGTTTGATGTTGTGTTTTGAAATAGAATTCTCTAGTTTTGATTGTTTCAGCGTGCATGTGTGTGGGTGGGTTGGTTTGGGAATAGGGGTGTTTTCGGGCTATGCGTGAGTGCCGGTTGCGTGAGTGAGGTCTTCTTGGTGGGGTGTTTGGTTGGAGTGAGTGAGTGATGCTGTACTTTTACACATGTCACAAGGACGTGTAGTCTCATATATCAACTGGGATCAGGCGTTTGTGGAATAATGTTTAGATCCTCACCACATTCTGGTGTCCCCCGCCGTGATATTGCTGGAATATTGCTAAAAGCGGCGTAAAACTAAACTCACTCACTCACTCATCACATGGACGTCTTGTGTCGTGAAGTGTACAAGTCTCTTCTCTCGTGGTGCTTTGTATGCAGTCCAGTTCGACCAGTGAATCATCGGTCATCGCAATCAATATCATGGTCATTGTCCACCAGGGTCAGTCTAATGGTCATTCATTCACTGTCCAACACTGCCACACCTCACGCGAGGATAAGCTGGCAGCTAGCTGATCTAACAAGGATCATTTGGGAAGCTGGAGGCTGGAGGTGGTGAAATGTCAAGTGATTGATGTGTACAGCACATTCCATGCTGACCCACTGGCTGATGGCAGAGTTATTTCCCTTGGCTGTTTTCTAAAGCAAGCTCCTCACACTGATGCCTTGGTCCTGGAGTTTGATATTGTATCTCTGCCACCAGTCTGAACAAGTCACATGGTTGAACACTGATCCAGACCCACTAAAATTTGAAGCAGAAACTACTTGCTACATTCTGTTTAATGGAGGTATTTGCTGATCAGTGACAAATTTACATAGCATAGATCCTGAACCTTTTGGGATGCTGCCGGTGAATGTACTCACTTAGCTTAATGAATGGCTTCTGGGTCGTGAAACTGACATGGCAATCAGTTCAGGTTTCCCCACGTGGTGGGTGTCACGACTGTCATATTTCCCCTCAGCTCACCTGATCACCCAAGTGTGGGAGCTCCAGATACTCTAGAAGTCTTCACCTGCACTTTGAGTCCAGACACTGTAGCAGATATGACTTGCACATTGTGTCCGAGAAAGTAGATGTAAAAAGGCTCGAAAATATTCAAGATGCTCTTTTCCAAGCACTGTAGTGATCATTGGTGGAATAGATAAGTCATTGTCCAGTATGTTTGGGAGCCTTGTGATGAAGGCATTAACTGGTCATGCTCAGATAAGGGCTTTCTACGGGCATAATGAGAAGGCATTGCTGTCCTAAGTCATGATGTCATTCTGCTGCATTATATGTCTCACTTATTAAACTGGATCTAAATATCTCTCATATTTAGTTTTTGAAGATTGAGTTTATGTTTGAAGATTGCGTTGGATGCTTTGACATCCGACATTGTGTTTGTTGAGTAGGAATGGAGCTGAATATGGAAGTATTGCAGCACAACGAAGGCAGAGAAGTGAGGCTACATTGGAATGAGGCCTTGAATCTCGATATAGCAACTGTATGGATAACCCTGATGTAGATTTGCTAGTCAGGATGTTCCGCTTTGAAGTCTGAGCTGTAGACGATGATGAGCTGGGAACCGATGGGGGGGGGGGGGACCAGCAAGTAATGTGCTTACAGCTAGAGCTGTATGTGGATGTAGCGAAGATACACTGGCAGGGAAGTGTACAGATAGCCAGAAAACTATGTGCTGCATTTTCAATTTGTGTGTGACCTTCACCTTGCAAGCTGAGGATGGCAGCTGTCTTCTTGGTACAGATTCAGCCTCTAGGCCAGATGCTAGCAGAAGAAACAGAAGGGATAATTGTTTCTCTTTTTCTGATTAGAAAATTTAATAACACAGCATTTGCAGTTATATATTTGAAGAAAACCTCCGGGGAAAGTTGTCCAAGATGTTGTTCCAATTTACAAAGCTGATGGTTTTTATAAGTAACCCAGCTTTTCGAAGTATCAGATGGAATCAGAATAATGTGAGATAGAGATGGAGGCTTAAATGAGGTTCCGTAATGGAGACGAACAAGAGGGATGGGAGGGAAAATAACTATTTTATGGTATGAAACTTAGCTTGAACAAAATGCTGTGAAACTCGCAGGAACTATATGATCTTGTGGATTTTACGTCTTTTTTTTTTTTTAAAGCTGGCAACTTTTCAAATAGCTCAATTTTGATTTGCTTGTAAATCTGTGCCTTTCTAAGCCATAGTACGGTTATTTGCAAGTGTTGTCGATATATTGTCACACTTCCTTTTATCTGAGGGAAACAGTACATGTTAGAGGACATTCATCCTCTGTGCTGTGGATTCTGCATTATGAAATGCGAGTTTAGAAATGGAGTTGAATTTTAAATTAAACATACATTTTTCATGAATTTCCTAAATCTGCTGGAGTGAGAAGATTGTTTGTCACCAGTTGTGTGCAGATCCTTTACCATGGTGGTCTTCAATTAGCTACATATAGAACTCTCTCTATTGTCAACCTGTTCATGCTGATAGGCACAAGTGACAGGTTCACCCATTATATAGGATGAATCTCTTTGGTTCAGAGGTTAAGACTAGAACCCAGACCAAGGTAAGCCAGGCCAGCACTTACCCAGCCGTTCTCCTCAACTCAGGATATTCCTATGTATTTCAACAAACACCCTATGTATTTTTCAGTTATGGTGATATTCCTCAGCTTATTGCCATTTCTATTTTTCTAATCACCTCAACGGGTTCATCTGTAGTACCTGACAGGTAAGACAGGTGAGTGTTGTTCTGACAATGTCACTTCTACTAGAGGCCTATCACGTCATGCCCTCCTCATCAGATAGCAGGGCGGCCCTGCCACTCACTCTTGTGTAGTGTGTTCAGATTGGTGGCAGTCAATGGCAGCTCCCTTCTGTTGTCGCTTCAGACTTGAACTAACTGTATGGAGATATATGGGGATAGTATGCATTTTTGTTTTTCGGCTTTTCCTGTGTTTTGATGTTTTCAAAAGACGTTGCGCAAAATACCTTGAAGAACCAGTTAACCATTTTGCAATGACATTGATAAATTAAACTGAAATAGAGGTTATTTGTCATGTTTACGTCAAACATTTACATAGTTTCTGTGATCAACTTTCTTGTTCCTCCCACTCACTCACTCACTCACTCACCGCCGTGATGTTGCTGGAATATTGCTAAAAGCGGCGTAAAACCAAACTCACTCACTCACTCACTCACTCACTCACTCACTCACTCACTCACTCACTCACTCACTCACTCACTCAAACTCACTAACTGAGACTGAATGACAGTGTGGTTGCGGTGTGCTGTAATCTGTGGTAATCTGTTTGTTCTCAGCTTCTCCCAGGAAGTCACAGTGTCTTAGCTACCGGGCTAGGCAGGCAGAGTTTGGAGGCTTCCTTTCAGTAAACATTTACAACAGAGCAGTGTCTTCCTGACTGCGGGCAGCATTTGCAGCTGATCATTCTCAGTACGCATTTTCTAACTTGGGATTTGGGGCAGAAAAACTTGGAAGTTGATACAACGCAGAAGTTCGCGGCAATAATTTCCTCATTGAAGAAGTTTGAGTGGCGCACTGTACGTTGAGCCACAGGAAGGGAGAATCTAAATAGAATCGGCTGCTGTACCTTGTCATCATTCCTCAGCAGAACCAACTACTGCCGCATCTTAAACATTGTTTCTAGATATGTTCACTGACCTCAGTGTGGAGACCTCCAGTTTCTGGATGTTCACTGACCTCAGTGTGGTGACCTCCAGTTTCTGGATGTTCACTGACCTCATGTGGGAACCTCCACTTTTTGGATGTTCACTGACCTCAGTGTGGGAACCTCCACTTTCTGGATGTTCACTGACCTCATGTGGTGACCTCCAGTTTCTGGATGTTCACTGACCTCAGTGTGGTGACCTCCAGTTTCTGGATGTTCACTGACCTCAATGTGGGTACCTCCAGTTTCTAGATGTTCACTGACCTCCATGTGGGTACCTCCAGTTTCTGGATGTTCACTGACCTCAGTGTGGTGACCTCCAGTTTCTGGATGTTCACTGATCTCAGTGTGGAGACCTCCAGTTTCTGGATGTTCACTGACCACAGTGTGGTGACCTCCAGTTTCTGGATGTTCACTGATCTCAGTGTGGGTACCTCCAGTTTCTGGATGTTCACTGACCACAGTGTGGTGACCTCCAGTTTCTGGATGTTCACTGATCTCAGTGTGGAGACCTCCAGTTTCTAGATGTTCACTGACCTCAGTGTGGAGACCTCCAGTTTCTGGATATTCACTGACCTCCATGTGGGAACCTCCATGTGGACTGACCTCCAGTTTCTGGATGTTCACTGACCTCAGTGTGGGGACCTCCAGTGTGGTGTTTCTGGATGTTCACTGACCTCAGTGTGGGGACCTCCAGTTTCTGGATGTTCACTGACCTCAGTGTGGGGACCTCCAGTTTCTGGATGTTCACTGACCTCCATGTGGGAACCTCCAGTTTCTGGATGTTCACTGACTTCATGTGGGGACCACCATTTTCTAGATGTTCACTGACCTCCATGTGGGAACCTCCAGTTTCTGGATGTTCACTGACCTCCATGTGGGAACCTCCAGTTTCTGGATGTTCACTGACCTCCATGTGGAGACCTCCAGTTTCTGAGTGTTCACTGACCTCAGTGTGGGAACCTCCAGTTTCTAGATGTTCACTGACCTCAGTGTGAGAACCTCCAGTTTCTGGATGTTCACTGACCTCAGTGTGGTGACCTCCAGTTTCTAGATGTTCACTGACCTCCGTGTGGGAACCTCCAGTTTCTGGATGTTCACTGACCTCAGTGTGGGAACCTCCAGTTTCTAGATGTTCACTGACCTCAGTGTGGGAACCTCCAGTTTCTAGATGTTCACTGACCTCAGTGTGGGGACCTCCAGTTTCTGGATGTTCACTGACCTCAGTGTGGGAACCTCCAGTTTCTAGATGTTCACTGACCTCAGTGTGGGAACCTCCAGTTTCTAGATGTTCACTGACCTCCGTGTGGGAACCTCCAGTTTCTGGATGTTCACTGACCTCCGTGTGGGAACCTCCAGTTTCTGGATGTTCACTGACCTCAGTGTGGGAACCTCCAGTTTCTAGATGTTCACTGACCTCAGTGTGGGAACCTCCAGTTTCTGGATGTTCACTGACCTCAGTGTGGGAACCTCCAGTTTCTAGATGTTCACTGACCTCAGTGTGGGAACCTCCAGTTTCTAGATGTTCACTGACCTCAGTGTGGGAACCTCCAGTTTCTAGATGTTCACTGACCTCAGTGTGGGAACCTCCAGTTTCTAGATGTTCACTGACCTCAGTGTGGGAACCTCCAGTTTCTGGATGTTCACTGACCTCAGTGTGGGAACCTCCAGTTTCTAGATGTTCACTGACCTCAGTGTGGGAACCTCCAGTTTCTAGATGTTCACTGACCTCAGTGGGGACCTCCAGGACCTCAGTGTGGGAACCTCCAGTTTCTGGATGTTCACTGACCTCAGTGTGGGAACCTCCAGTTTCTAGATGTTCACTGACCTCAGTGTGGGAACCTCCAGTTTCTGGATGTTCACACTGACCTCAGTGTGGGGAACCTCCAGTTTCTGGATGTTCACTGACCTCAGTGTGGGAACCTCCAGTTTCTGGATGTTCACTGACCTCAGTGTGGGAACCTCCAGTTTCTAGATGTTCACTGACCTCCGTGTGGTGACCTCCAGTTTCTGGATGTTCACTGACCTCAGTGTGGGAACCTCCAGTTTCTAGATGTTCACTGACCTCCGTGTGGGAACCTCCAGTTTCTGGATGTTCACTGACCTCCGTGTGGGAACCTCCAGTTTCTGGATGTTCACTGACCTCAGTGTGGGAACCTCCAGTTTCTGAGTGTTCACTGACCTCAGTGTGGGAACCTCCAGTTTCTAGATGTTCACTGACCTCCGTGTGGTGACCTCCAGTTTCTAGATGTTCACTGACCTCATGTGGGGACCTCCAGTTTCTAGATGTTCACTGACCTCAGTGGGGGGACCACGGTTGATAGCAAGTCCATGTACAGAAAAATATGACTATGACATTGCTGTATATCATCTTCATGGACTTCAATGGCTCACCGACTCCTAGTCTGTTGAACAGTTACTGAACCACATTAGTTTCCCTACTGCCTACTCCTCCTTGCAATGCTAAAGCCGTCAGGTTCAGAATCTCATCTCACTGGGGCTCCTATTCAGTTTATAAGGAATTGTTTATTTCTGACAAAATTATATATATTCAGAGACTAAGTGTTAATCTATTAATCTAACTAACTGGTCTGAATGCCCTTCCTCTTCTTCCCCCTATCTTCCTCCTTCGCTCTTCTCTCTTTCTTGGGCTGTAGACCGATATAGGCTAATTTCTCTACCTGGCTCACAGCCTCAACTCATTGGACACGCGTATGCAGATTTAAGCAACCTCCTCCTTGCCGTGTAAAGCTGACTCACTCACCCACTCGCTCACCAACTCACCGATTCTTCACTCACCAATTCACTCTCACTCACCAATTCACTCTCACCCATCCACACACTCACTCACTCACTCACTCACTCACCCACCCAAACTCACACACACTCACTCACTCACTCACTCACTCACTCACTCACTCACTCACCCACCCACCCACCCACCTCCTCCCAACCCATTCTCACACACACCCTCTCTCACACCCACCCTCACACCCACCCACCAACTCACTCACACACTCACAAACCCACCCACTCACACACTCACTCACCCATTAATATTGCAGGCAATGTGTTAATGTCCCACTGATTCAGGTTTCAGTTACGTTATGAAATTGGAATCAGGTTTCTTTGTTAAACACAAGCCTTTGATGTGAAAACAGCTGTATTTTCTCATCTGTTTCTTTTTTTCCGTGGTCGTTTCTGACCAAGAGCTGACTACAGGAGGGCTCGAGACAATCTCCCAATAAACTCACAGCATTGGTCATGATTTGAAATTTCATGAATAATGAAAATGTCCAATTCTTCATGAGACAGTTAGGAGAAAAGACCATTGTCTTCCATGCTGTGTAATTGCCGCGCTCTGCCGTCGTGTCAGGCTGTGATTGATGCGTAGTGTACATGAAGACATACTTTAAATGTCAGTCTTGTCACTGAAGTATTATTTGTTTTTGAAAAAAATCCTCTTCCTCTTATTTTCTAAATTTGAGGTCTAAAAGCAAAAGGAAGTTTTTTTTATTTGTTTTCTCTCGTCTACTCAGCTGTATAAATATGATGGAATACGCAGCCCATGACTAGCTTCAGGTAGCACCTTCGAGGCAGGTGTCTCTCGTCAGGTAACACTGCTTACCTGGGTTCTTAAAGGAAACATCTTGAACACTTAGACAACATTTCAGTGTTGAGGGCTTGACTTGAGGAATTTGTTAACTGGTGTTGTCTCTGATTTTCTGAGATCCATTCATATGCTTGCCACTACTAATTTGCCTGTTACGTTAAACATGGGATTCAGTGGACCAGGTATTCTTTGACAATGATGTTTTAGGGTGGGATTAGTGTATTAAGGCCTTTTACTTTTTATTAACATGTTCCCCCCAAAATGGCCCAAATTCATGTAGTGGTGAAAATGTTTCTTTTTTGGGGTGTTTGGTCTCTTTACCAGCTGAAAAATGTAAAGGGTTGCCTTATTGGTTGTCCTGAATCATCAAAGGTGTCTCTCCGAGGTATTGGATCTGTCCTGCTCATTGTGCCAAGTCATATGACTTATGGTTTGAATCACAGGTTCACCCTGGTTTGGAGAAAAGGCCATTGTCTTCCAACTCCGTAACTGATCTCAGGTGTGACTGGGAGGTTTCACTGAAGAGGTAAAACATTTCAGACTTACATCACTTGGGGCATTCTTTTCATAAGGCCCCATGATAAAACTGAAATCCTGGTCAAAAGTGTCCCACCCACTATTGATGGTAAGATGTCATGTATACACAGGTATGACTCTTAAGCCAGGAAGCCAGAAATTATGTTAATATATTTTTTTTTTGACTTCTTGTATGGAGGTGTAAGATGTGGGAATATCTATTTCAATAATTACTAACTGAGTTTCTTGCATACAATACGTAACCGTCCTAGACTATTTCCAAACCAAGCCTTGTCTCTTTGCTTGGAAAATATGAGCAATATAAAACATATCACCATCCCATTCTGACATTGAGAGCCATGACATAAAAAAGCAAACATACTTTTTATT